CCCTACGGTACTCTCTGGGTTCCGGCTCCTACCCAGATAGGGGGTCTGTTCACCACGGTTAGACCCTATGCAATAGGTAGGTAGGTCCGGTTTTGACCGCCCCAGAGGGCCCCGCAATAGGTAGGTAGGTGGCGGTAGGTGTGGGGGGGGGTGGAGGAAAAAAACCGCTTCGCTTGCGCGGGAGACGGCGCGTTTAGCCGCGAACGGGGCCATGCCAGACGTGTCGCCTGCGGCTGGGACGCCAGCCGAGACGGGTGCGGCGGCGGCGCCCGCGGTGGCGGCGCTGTGCAAGGACATCTCCCGCGCGGAGCTCAAACAGTACCTCAAGGAGTATTCGACGGAGAGCGGCGAGAAGCTCTTTGCCGCCGCCAACGTGGACATGCTCGAGCACCTTCCCATGTCCACCGTCTACGAGGCGTCGAAGAGCAGCGCCAAGTGGGAGACGGTCCGCCAACATGCTCTTCCCCGACAGCAAGGCGGCGTCGGAGATCTTCTTGATCAAGGTGCGCGAGGCTAAGAAGGCCGAGACCGAGGCGGCGGCGTCGGCCAAGAAGTCGAGCAAGGTCGCGTGGAAGGAGGACCTGCTCGCGGCGAGGCGGGCGAAAGAGGCAGAAGAGGCGGCGGCGCGCAAGACGGCAGCACCGGAGCGCGCCCCGTGGTGCCTGAGCAGCCACGCCGGTAGGCGCCGAGCCAGAGTGCCGAATCGCCACCCCGTCATGGCACGGCGTGAGCTGCGCCTGATTGCGTGAGACGCAAATCGGAAGGGTGCCGAAGTGGCTCTCCTCGTGCGGGCGGCGACCGATCTTGTAGGCGGGAGGGTCCGTGCCCTCGACTCTGTCGAGGGAAGAGAGTGCCGTTTTGGAGCCGTCCAACGCCTCGAGAGCCCAGTAGGCCATGCTCTGGCGGGCTCGCGAGCGGCGCGCACCGCGGTACAAGCCGGCGCGCGGCGGGCGCTGGGAGCCTATTCACAGAGGGCTAACGGGTATTTTTTCGCTTCGCTGCGCGGCCTGGGAATAGGTAGGTAGGTGGGGCACGGAGCCTGGCGATTGGCGCCCGCAATAGGTAGGTAGGTAGGGCGTTTTGGTGCGAGTCGTGGTGGACAGACCCCCTATCTGGGTAGGAGCCCGAACCCTGGCTGGTCGGCAAGGCCTGGTCGCGCAGGACCCACCCTCGAGGTCTCTCAATGGAGAAAACGCGGGCGAGCCTACCAATGGGTCCCTCGAGAGGGGTACCCTGGGTGGGCGGGGCCTCTACTCGCCAGGGACCAAATCTCTCTCTCTCTCCCACACACCAGACACCATCCTCGCCCGGCTCTGGAATTCTCGACAGGGTGGCCCACCACAACGACCCCTGGAATTGCGACTCGCCGCTTTCCTCCCACTGTGAATTTAAGCGAGCAGTGTCTTGAAGAACTCACCTCGAAACAGAAAAAGAAAATAGTTAGAGGCTGCGCAGGCCGTCCCGTTTGCTGTTTGAAACGCCTGTTGTGGGCTGGCTGCGCGCGCGCGCTGGCCCGCGCTGCCGGGGCTCTGTCTCACTCTCACGTGCCGCAATATGTGTCACACACGGCGGCTTCTGCCACCTCTCGATTGGTTCTACTTTCTCCGCACACCTACCGGGGAAGGGGCGCTTGGGAGCGGGGGCGGGGGCGGGGGCGGGGGCGCGCAGCGCGGCTGCGCGGCGCGCGCAACAGAGGGTAGGGTGGGGAAGACGGCGAGGAGGGGGCGGCGGCGGCCGCCGCGCCGGCAGCGCGCGCGCGGCCCGAGCGACCCGGGGGCAGACCAGCCAGACTGAACCCGCGGCTCCACCTCGTATAGAGCGCCCCCCCTCATGCTCCCCGTCCCCATGCCTCACCAAGCTGACTCCTCGCCCGCAGCGACCCCCGATCCTCCACCCTCCGGATCGGCG